AATGTAAGGTTGCCTCCCTCCCTCTGCCCCCAGCTTCTCCACCCACCTGCCCTGTCCCCCAGTACATTAGGCATGTCCCCTGGCTTGTGGGTGGGGAGCAGCAGCAGGACTGAGCTGGCAGGTGAGGCGGTTTTCTGGTTCAGCTGCCCTCAGGGCCCTGCCTGCCAGCACTACTGAGAGGTAAAGGACACACGGTCTTGGGGGAGCCTTCTTCCCAGTGTTCCTCTTGGGCAGTGATTGTTGTGGATTTTTGTAAACGAGTGAGTGAAACAGGAAACTGTTACAGCTTTCATAGCACTTTGAGCAAAGTGTTGGGTGTCATCTTTGATAATGGCATTTGTGCAAATTGTTCTTGGTCCTGTGTGTTTAGTCTGAAAATACCCAAACCCCTCCCTGTGTAAGCACATGTGAGGTTTTAACTGTGGATGAGGGCACCAGGATGAACAGTATGACTTCCAGATGTTAGCTTCAAAGGCTGAAGGGTCAGGTCGGAAGTTTGGTTCCCACAAAATGAGCATCTTTAGAAACCTGTACTTCAGGTCTTTGTGAATCTTAGAGAAATGAGCCTCAGTTCTGTTTTGTGCTGAGAATGTGTTTTCAGGGCCGTTGGGTGTTGGGCGTCTTCAGGTTGATGTGGCTATGGTCATGGCTGCCGCAGGCCCCAGGTCCACATCCGGAGGGCTGAGTACAGAGGTGTGGTTTCCATTAAAATGCCTGTCCTCCCACAAAATGCTCCCAGGCTTCTCTGTTTAGGGCAAGTGACCTGAATGCTGACTTCTGTATTTCTCATGCCATGTGAGGGAGAAACCCTTTCTGGACAGAGGGGGTTAGATAGTCCCTAAATTATGTTTTCTTGCCTTATGCCATAATCCTGTATCTGTGATAGTGACAGACTTAGGGAAGCTTCTGGTATCCCCCATCTCTCACTGTCCACAGCCCCAGGCTTCGACAGCCTGGGATGAGCCCAGGGTAGGTCAGCCACTGTGGCCATCTAGGCCATCTAGAAGAGGCCCTCCCCTCTTCTCTCCTGATGCTGCCTGCTTAGTGAAGAAGGCTTTTGCAGACTGAGGGCGTAGCTGCTAGAGACCTTCCAGCTCAGCTCGCAGGGAGGAGTTGACTGGGATCACCTGCTGTGGTCGGCCTCCTGTCCCTCTTCCTACATGCCGGAGGGCCTGTCAGAAGCCGGTGAGTGGCCGGCGTAGAGGGGCGTGCATGGGAAGAGGGTAGGCCATGGGACAAAGTGCTCATAGAGCCTTCTTCAGCCTCCCTTTTTAATCAAGGGCTCATCCCAAATTGCTCCTCAGTGCCAGCAAACAAATGCCCACACAAGTTCTTGAGTGTTTTGTGCAGATTTATTGAAGACAACTCTGGCTGCCTTATAGGAGCTCTGCAGCTGCCTCCCAGGCCAGAATGTCATGGAAAACCAGTAATCCGGGGCTCTATGGAGTAGGGCGGCCAGTCATTTGATGTGGCAAAAGGGCTGAGGTTAAACCACATTTAGCAGGCAGATCATATTTTCAAAAACTTTTGCTTTGGGTGTTTTCCTTCTCTGTTGGGGATCAGCATCCTTTTAATCATACTCTCCACCCCCTCCTGATCCCTCCGAAGTACTGTTATGTGGTATGTAGCTATTGTACGCAAAAGTATATTGAAATTATTTTTCAAACTACATGATGCTGAACTGTGGGTCCATACGGAGAGTGTGGCTATGGATTGTATGCAAATGAGCGAGTGAATTCAATTTTGATCTATAACTTCTTTAAATCAGGGAAAAAAGAATTGCATGGTACCCCGGGTAGTGATACCAAACCCATATTGCAGCTTAGCTGATCAGTTCATTGTTCTCTGTGCTTTCATCCCTTCGGACACTGCCTTGGTTGACCCTCTCTGGAAAGGTCCCAATTGGTTGCTAATGAACGGTGTGGAGGATCGCCTGGTCCAGACAGGGGCTGTAAATCCCAGACAGGCGCTTTAAAATGGTGTTCATCACTGAAATTAAGAACAATCATCTTCCCCAGCAGCCTGAACTCATTTCTCTATATGCAGCTTGGTCTAAAGAATCCAATCAGAGAGTAATTGAAAGTTCATGACACTTGCAGAGGTTTCTGGAAACAGATCTGTGGGTACCAAGAAAAGAGGACATAGATTCATCCCACCCACCGGTCATTCCCGCCCTCCCCTGTATCCAGAGCAGCCCACTCCCCACCACTGACACCGAAATGCATTTAGCCGATTGGCTGCCCTCCGTGGATAATGCCTACTCAGCATTTGGGACAAGTTCCAGCATGTAACTTCCTTTTGGTGAGTGACCCTGACAGGAGAGGGGATTGAGCTTAATTTATGCCGGCCAGTGCAGCAACTTGGGCAGCCAGCTTTCCAGAATTTGCCCAGAGTTTTCCCTAGGGAATGACAGTGCCGTATATTCTAATTGGTACCCGTGCCGCTCCCAAGTATGGCTGCCGTGTACTCGTTCTCACCTTTCAGAGATCAAAGCCAAGTGTCAAGTTGTGTCTAACAGAGGTGCGCAGAACTCGGATGGAGAAACGATGTGTTTCTGGCTGGCTGGAGAACCCTCGGGCGGGGAGAGAGAGAGAATCAGGCAGCTGCTGTGGTTGTCACGGCCTGTTTCCTTTTCCAAACGGAACCTGGGGTTCTCAGATCCCCCGAGGTGGCAACTCTCTAACCAGCAGAAGGCAAGCTAAGCAAAGTTGTGGGGGTGTGTAGTGTAGAGCCTCTCCCCTCCACCCCAGTCTGCCTTTGATTAATGAGGTGTTAGGCTGAGCCAGGGCCGAGTTAATTTCAGAGATAATCCATTTCCTGCTACTTTAATTCAGCCAGCACCATTCATCAGAAGCGGAGAAGAGCGCCTGGGACCCTCTCCTACATCATCCTAGTATCTTGAAAATAGGAAGGGGCAGCAGGGGTTCTCCCACCCCTTATTGTAGATGCTGAGGTTATAGAAATATGTCAGGACTTGGTGACAGAAATGTCTACACATACATCATGCCACCAGATTATGGTGCCCCCCGCCAGGCCCTGACTTAGTGGCAGGTTCTTCCTCTCCCCGCACCGCCCCCCCCCGCCCCCGCTTTGCTCCCAAAAGACAATTGTGCTTGTTGTTAGATGGAGGATGCATATTGAGGCCATCCACACTTAGGCTGGGAAGTCCTCTAGGACAGAGACAACTGCTATCCAATATCTTCGAGTAATGAACTTATCAGTAAATATAACACATGAGCTCATTAATCTTAACTTTGTTTTTGGACCAAGTGGGAGCTTGGCTTCTCAGGAGACAAAAATTTCATCTCTGTTCTTTTTCTTAAACCCAGTCCCAATTTAGAGTCAAACATATTGCCCTGCTCTCCCTGGGAAGCAGTTAATAATGTGTTTTTTTCTCACAGCGGATGGTCCAGGCTCAGCCTGGTCACTCAGGCCCCCAGGCCATGTGCATGTGCTCTGTACACAGTATGAGCTCAAGGCATCTGAGCAGGGCTGTATCAGCTGAGGAATGTTCTCTAGATGAAGTGAATCTTACAACTGTTGCCTGTCCTGGCCACTCTGTCTTTGCTTCAGCTAATGCTGTTCTTCTAAAATCAACTGCCTCCACCCTTCAGCTCTGATAAGAAAAGAAATTGAGGATGTAGAGATGGATGCATCACACCTTTTACAAGGGGTGGCTACCCATTCACTCTGGGCAGTGAGATCTAGGTGTAAAAGAAGTCTCGAAAAGAAAGAAGTCTCTGGGAAGAGATGTCGTTTGTGAGGAGAGCAATGGCCTGGAAGGGCTGCTGTGGGATGGGATGCCTGCCCACGCGCACGGCGAGAGGAGGTTTAGGAAAGGTTCGCCTACAGGTGGGTCCTGTGGACCTGGTGTAGGCCTGTGGGGCCTGTAAGTGTGGCCACATAGGACTGATGGGGTGAGCGGGGGCAAGGAGCCAGCCAGCACTGGCCGGTGTCTTCCCCGCCTGGATCTCCCCTCCCCCTCCCTGAGAGAGAGGGACAGACCTAGGGGACATCAGCTGTCTGTCCCCTGCACACACATCCACGTACCCATCAGCAGTTCTAGAGATTGAGCAGAATGGGAAGGGAAAGCGCCACATCCTTGGCAGCTCTGTTGCCTTTGTCCTCTGAGCCTCCCGCTGATGCCCTGAGGGCCTCCTCTTACTGTTTCTTCCCAGAGAGACTTTACCTGTACCATTTCCTTGCTCTGTGGGCCTCTCCTGGGTCCTTTGTTCTGCCAGCCCCAGCAGTGTCTCCCTTGACGTCTCTGCTCCAGAAAGAGAGGAGCAGCCCTGCAGCCTCCTAACCTACCAGGTGGAGTTAGAAGCATCTAACTTAGAAGGCTCCTTTGAGATGGCTGGCGATCAGAGCACATTTCTGTTCTTTCCCCCATTTATATATAATACCTTTTCCAGCACTTGAAATAATCCATTTTCCTTTGAGAGCCTCCACTCACTTGTGGGCTGTGGTTTGATCACACCCACCATCCCCCTAAGCCCTCACTATACAGGAGGTAGAATGTAATTTAAGCCATAATCATTTCTGCTCCCTCCTGCCCTGCCTCCTAGAAGTGGTGGGTGTCCTGTGGTAGATATTCGTTTGCCCAAGCTGGGAAAGTGCTGAGCTGGCAGCTCTCTGCCCTCCTGCCTGTTTGGTGGAGAAGGAGGGGGCTCAGAACCCACTCATCTCGTAGGGAAGGGGGTGTGTCTCACTGCAGCAGTCATCTTTGGGGTTCCACCTTCAGGGCTCAGGCAGGAGCAGTGTTGAATGCAGAGTCAGCCTCTGAGCAGCCACCCTTGGACATTCTGAGGCCCCTGGGCTGACTTGAGGAGCTGGGAGATGGGAAGGTGCGGGCCCCTTCGTGGGTGGTGCTCTGATAAACTCTCTTCAGCAGCAGGCGCGCCTGCCCTCCTGTCCTCCAGACCAGAATGAGAGCTGGGCTTTGGGCGTTTGGAGGCCACCCTAACAGTGTGTCCTCTCTGCTTCTCCCACTGTTGCAGGTTATGTGTTCTGTATGTTACATCGCCTCCCCGAGCAGCATGACTGTACGTTTGACCACATGGGCCGCGGCCGAGAGGAAGCCATCATGAAAATGGTGAAACTGGACCGGAAAGTGGGGCGCTCCTGCCAGCGCATCGGGGAGGGGTGCTCCTGAAGGCCAGGCATGGCCGCCACATGACGCTGTTCTTAGTTCACTAATGTTAGCCTTATTTAGGACAAAGTCAGCCAGACACCTTGTACTGGGCACGCGTCAGACTACAGCCAGTCCGTTTCCTTTCTTTAGCCAGCCATCCTGGTACTGTAGTTTAGGGGTTGATGGTGGTTGAAATTGATTTCTGGCTGGTTACTAAGGTGCCTGCTAGCCATTGTATAAAATTAAAACATGAAGAATATTTTTTTTTGAGCATGGCTAGTGGATTTCAAACAACACATACCTGTCACTGCTGGAGTCATACTTATAAAAAGCCTTAAGCGGAAAGTGTTCCAGATGGAGACTCTGAGTTAATAGAGGAGTAGAAGCTGGTGTTAAAGTTCCCATGACGCACATGGCTTTGCCAGAAACTCTGGTTAATGTTCGGCCTTTCACCTCTTCACTTATCCTTAGTCCCAGTAGCCAGGATACCTGATGGCCACGCGTGCCTTGGCCACAGGAGGCTGTTGAGATTGGCCATGTGGCTGGGCTGGGTGGTGGCTTCGCTCTCCCACAGCGCTGGAATTGGGAGGGGGGGGGGCAGGTTCTTAGGAAAATTTTTTACCTGACTTGCTATGAAAAAACTCTCTCATCACACGAGGAGAGAAACAATAACCTCACTTTGAAAATTAGCTCCACTCAAGACTAGTCCATGTACGAGACCCATCTTTTCTACACAGGACCCACGGTCATGGGAAGCAACCTGACCCCACTGGCTCTGGTTTGCCATTTGCCAAGTGCAGGGATCTGGCAATTGATCAAATAAGGCTAATTACAGCACAGCAGCTGCGGCTAGGATCTACAAACTGGCCTCTGCAGCTAGATTTCTATATTGGGAGTTTTTAAAAAGACATTTCATAGCCGACGGGAATCAGTAGAAGGGCTGGGGAGCAGGTGGGAAGCTGCCGCCTGCAGGCTCTGCCCCCTCCAGCGGCCGCCTGCCCGGCCCTCTCTGGGCCAAGAGGACAGTGCCACGGCCCAGCCCCTTGTGTCTGCGCAGCTCCGTAGTCCAGGGGACCACCTCTACCACATAGCAAGTCTGGGAAGGCGAGGCGGCCTGCGTCCCAGGGGCAGCGGGGGGATCTGTCTAGAACAGTGGTTTGTGGCCGTGGCCCAGCTCCGAGAAGGACCTTCGCTCTGGCAGTGGGGGTGGGAGGGCACATTTCTCAGCCTGTGCCGCTTCCTGCGGGCAGAGAGGAGTCGGTAGCCATGGTAGCTCAGGCCAGGTGGGGAGGGTGGATATGGGCCTGTTGGCCCAAGTTAGGGAATCCTCACCGATCTGGTGGGGGCGGGGAGGGGAGACAGGATTAAGATTCCCTGGAAAGCCTGAACAGGGTTGAGTGGGCCAGAGACCCCGTATGGTCCAGGCTGGTGAGAGTCGGAGGCTCCTGCAGAGGTGGTTTGGATCTGCCCACGCACAGGCTACTGGAACAGTTTAACCCAGCAAACTTTCCCTTTTATACCACGACCAACAGTTCGACTGTCTGCAGTTCACAGCCAAACACCTGCAACTACAAATGTTTTTTGGTCCGGAATGCTGAAATAGGAAATCATGCTCTTCCCAACCTCTTCCTCCCATCCCACCCCCACCAGAGTGGAATCCGCTGCAAAATCTCCAGCCTTATTCTTGCTTCAGGACCCAGACCGGTGTCTCTTGCTCTAGGGCAGCCCAGGGCAGAGGGGCCGGGTCTGCCCGCGTTTACCACTGTTGTCAAGCCACGGCCCTCTGGCCACTGCATGGCCATCCTCAGTGAGGCGGCCCGCCCAGGCCCCCCGCCAAGCTCTGATCCCGAAGAGGCCCCCCCGCCCCACGCCCTCCCGGCCCTCCTCAGGCCCCGCCGCTGCTGCCTCGAGGCAGGGATGGGAAGCAGGCTCTCTGGGGAGCCCAGGGGCACACAGGGCTGCAGCCCATATTCACTTCCTGGTGGTAGAGCTGGGGGTGGGGGGGGGGCTTGTCCCCTGCAGTATCTGTTCTGTGAAGTTTGTTAAATGTAAGGAAAGCTTAAATTCTTGTATCTTTAAAAGAGAAGATCTTATTTAACCCTTTTGTGTTTTAGATTTACTTACACACATAGCCTAGAGCTCAGTTTTAGTTTTAACATTGTGAAAATATTAAAAGAATCTTGTAACTTTATTCTTTTTTCTCCTGCTGAAAAAAAAATTAAACCAATCGTATGAAAGTTTGGATTTCTCTGTTTTGCCGGTTCTCCTAAGTGCTGCCTGTACACCCAGAAAAATGGTGGACTGTCTCCCTGGCCGGGGCTTGGACGAGGTCGGGGAGCAGGTGGCTCTTGTGTGCAGAGAGCGCCTGTCCCTGCCCTGGGCTCGCAGCTGCCCCCCTTGTTTCTGTGGGAGGTCGTGCCTTGGGAGGCCATGGGGCCTGGCCCTGGTGGAGGTGTGTGTGCTGGGCCAGGCCTTTGCCGGCAGGGAGGAGGTTACGTGGGGGGGGGGGGGGGAATGGGAAGAAACGGGCACCAGCCCTGAGGGCCCCTCTGTGGTGTGGGTTGGGCGTGCCTGGGTCCTGGGTCCTGGGTCCTGGGTCCTGGGGTCTGGGAGGGGCCGCATCTGGAGGGAGGAGCAGCATGATGGATGTGCTGTGTGAACTCAGGTGTAGAGGAGGCACTTCGTATGCCTTAAGGTGTTTAAAAACATCTGGGGAGTCGTGTCCCTCCTCACCACCTTTAAGGCAGAGCGTTGACCACACAGCCGTCACTGAAGGTGATGAAAGATCCTCGAGGAAGTCAGAAGTGGGGAGAGAGCACAGGAGTCTGGTGGCCTTGGAACACGCGGTGCCTGGCAGTGCCCCCCTTGTCCCTCCTGCTCATCTGGGAGGCTTTGTTCGCGCCAGCAGGAGCTGACTGCAAGAAGAGAGGGCGGTGGAAAGAAGGCGCAGTGAGGAACAGGAAGCCTGCTGGGCTGAGTGGGGGTGGGAGGTGTACGGAGAGGGGGCACCCCCGCGGGCACCAGAGCAGCAGAGACGCCCAGGAATCGTCTGCAGCGGCCTCGGAAATTACCTCCTTTGCAGCCATTCTCAAAGCTGCCCGGAGGGCTCCAGGGAAAGAGGAGTAAGCAGAGACAAATGCCGAGGCCTGGCATCGGGAGCGTGCCAGGCAGCCGGGGGTGAGGCCTGCCCGCCGTCTGACAGAGCTGAGGGCTCCACCCTTGATCCACGCTTCCGTCCCAGGGATGGGGCAGGAGTCTGACAGAGAAAATGAAGCAAGTAAGAATACACCGTTTATTAATGCCACACAAAAAATACTAAGGAAGAGGAACCATAGACCTTACGTGACTCAGCTGTGATAGCGTACAAATAATAAACATACCAATGATGCATGTTGCTCTGGCAAAAATTGATGACGGAACTCGGGACAGGGAAAGTATGTGCAGCGTATAATGGGGCTAAGTTCTTACTGTCCAGTCAGCAGATAATGCATAAAACTGAAAATTCAAGAGCGCAATAGAAGCATGTTACCTAGGAATGTGGAGGCTAATGCAGAGAAAAAAGCTGAAAGTTCAGTGGTTTTTTTGGGGGGGTGGAGGACGGGAATGCGGTGAGCCTTATCACTACCATGACTACGCGCATGCGTAACAATTTTTTTTAAAGTTTAAAAAATGACAGAAGGGACCAACTGTCTCAGGCTGTCAGGACTTCAAGAGCTCAGGACCCTGGTGATGCAGAGTGGAATACGGGTTTTCTGGCCAGAGGTGTTTTGGAAGATGCAGGTGGCTGGTGCATCACAACACGCGATGCAGGACTTCTTTTTACCATAATCACGACACCCTGGGACAAGTTACCCCACTTCATTGAGCACCTCCTGTGTCCCGGGCACTTGAGGAAAACTCTAGGGGTTAATTCTAGCCAGGCCAGCCGGGAACTTCCAGTGTGGACCTCTCATGTGCTGTCCTAGTGACCCATAACCCAAAACACCCAGCAGATTCATTTCCCTTGACCTACATCCTGTTCCCCGCGTTTACATATAAAGGTGTTTCTGATCAATGACTGGATAGCAAGCCAGGAGCAAGGGGGTCGGGACGTGGGGGGGCTTCAGCAAACAGCTGACAAAACTGATAGCTCGCTCTCAGGACGTGCGGGAGAGGGCCAGGCTGGGAAGGGGCACTGAGCCCCTGGGCTCACATGCGGCCACTGGGCCTTGGGGGCTGGTCTCTTGGGTTTGAGCAATTAAGCTGTCGGCAAGTGAGAGGCTCCCCTGAAACCTGGGGACTCCTGTTTCATGCATGTGGGTAATGGGTTCATGCGTGACATCTTGTTGGGTCCACAGACTTGGGAGGCCAGGCTGGGCCACTGGTTCCTAGAGCTCCACTCCCACCCCACCTTCCTCAGGCAGCCCTGTACTCTTCTCCTCTTGGGGCTGAGAAGAGCCTGAGCTCTCGCGGGGAGGAGTGTGGATTTGATGGGGGGCCAGGGCTGTGGAAGGCTTTGGGCAGGGAGGCCACGGGGTCAGCTGTGAGAATCAGCTGACCCCCGGGTTAGGGGGAACTGTGGTCCCAGGCCCACTAGACCGCAGGAGGAGGTCCGGGGCAGGGGGTCCCAGACTAGGAGGGCAGGGATCTACTCTATGTGACACAATGCCCAAAAGGGAAGGGGAAGTCACCAGGACACAGGTCTCAAAGGCAGAAGCTCCTGGTGCACACCTTGTATGTCCAGGGCCCTTCCAGCCCACAGGCCTGGCCGTGGGGGCCCTCATTCAGCACCTGCAATGTGCTTGGCACCGATCCACGCGCTGGGGATAGCGTGGTGACCAAAAATACTGTCTGCCGTGGCGGGGCAGAGGACAAAAGGGAATAAATATGTGATACAAAATGGGTGGGGGAGGTGGTTTAGAAGGGCAGGGCCTGGGGGCTCTTCTCTGAGATGGCGACCATCCGGGGCTGGAGCCGTGGGTGTTAAAGGACGGCCTGCAAGGGAGGAGGCGGGAGGCCAGGGAGGCCGCTTGATAGAGCAGGCGGTAGATGGTGGCGCAGGGCTCAGGGAGCCGGGCTGGGGCCGAGGAGTCAGTCTGGACTCAGGCTGAAGGTAGTGACAGCAGGAGTTGCTGACAGAGGGGCCCGGGGTGAGCAAGAGGAGCTGTAGGTGACTTGCTAGCTTCATCCTGATGGGAGGATGGAGGTGCCATCCATGCTGGACCCCGGTGGGAACACGTGCGGGCGGGGGGTAGATCACAACAGACTAAGCTGAGGCGTGGGCTATACATCCGGCGGGGAAGGTGGAGGAGACACGCGACCCAGGGCTGGAGATGAGCCTTTTTAAGTCGTCAGCACACAGCCACGCACACAAGCCCCAGCCTGGCCGCGGTCACTGGCCACTGAAGGAGGAGGGAGTCCGGATGGAGGAGGCCGACCGGGCCGTGCCAGCCAGGGACATCCCGGTGTTACGAGGCCCGGGGAGACGAGAAGAAGCTGCCAGCAGAAGGAGGAGACCAAGAGAGCGTGGAGTCCTGACGAGTGTCCAGGAGTCGTCGCTGTTGCCCGCGGAGGGGCTGCTCGGGGACCCTGCGGCCAGAGTCTGGCCACGGGCGGGAGGCCGCGGAAAGCAGGGCTCGAGTTTCGCCACACGAAATGCAGAGAAGAGGGCACAAGTGGAAGGGCTGCGGGGGCAGGAGAGAAATACTGGTTTTATGCCGACGGAGTGCCCCATCGCAGAGGAGGGCTGCGCGGTGGCGGAGGGAGGGGGCGATTCGGCGCAGCGCCCAGGGAAGACGCGGGTCGCACAGGCAGGCAGCCGGGACTTGGCTCCTCGGGGCGCCGGGAGGTGGGCTGCGGAGTAGGAAAGGTTCGACGGCCACCTGAGGGGGACTTCCAGGGAAAGGCAGTTTTTAGCTTGAGGCCCCTCACTCACCAAGACCCCCTCTGCGCCCCTGCGGTGGGCCTTGGCAGTGGGTTCGCCTCTGCCGCGGTTTTATAAAATTTGCAAGAGTGAGATCCTTGAACGGCAGTGGGTTAGACCTGGTCCCTGTTCCATTCGAACTTTGCCTCCCTCACACTTCCTCTTCCGTTGGGTGGTGCTGAGGTGACATGGGCATTTGGGGGGTTTGGCCAAGATGAAGTCGAGTTGGGGACACAGTTTGGAGGGAATGGGGTATATTTGTGTGGTGCGCGGTCACGTCGGTGTTGAGTGGGTTATTGGTGGTCGTCCCGGGGGTAGGGACGCCTTCCAGGAAGACTCCTTGCTGCCCGCCGCGCTGATCACCCTGTGTTGTGACTTGAATGATGGGAGCCATGGAGGGGAGACAAGACTTGAAATGTGCGGAGCCAGAAGCCAGTCTGCGGAATGTTCTTCCAGTCGTTGGATGTATAAACTTAAAAGAGGAAGACTTGCTTCTCACTCCTGCCTGCTCAAGATGGAAGTTTGCTCCTGTTCGAGGAGTAGGCTGGGCCAGGCAGCCACGTCCAACTGTAAATGCACCATTCCTTGTGCAGTGCAAAGTGGGTTAAAGATTAATCTGGGAATTCTTGACTTGGCCTGTAATCCTACAGCTCACACGGCTGGTCAGGAAACCTGATCATGGTTTCCCACATTTGACAACAGTTCTAAAAACTTATGTCCGTGCCAGTGTGAGTGGTGAAGATGAAAGAAACTTTTCTAAAGTATCAGTAAGTCAGAGTTCGATCAACCATGCCAGAGGAGAGATTGAGGAGTCTTTCTGTTCTTACACGGGGTCAGGAAATGGTTTTCCCGCGAAGGGCGATCGGAGTGCACAACCCGACAGCGCAGGGCCAGGCCTCGCAGACGCGTGTCATGGTCACTCAACGGCTGTGGTGGTTTTCTAGACTTTCTGATGTCTGGGTATGTGTCCCACTTTGAGAAATGGGTGATTTGCTGATTTCCAATTCTTCATATTCATCTATGAACCGAGTTTTGTAGTCTTTTTCAAAGGGGGGCCCCTATAAAGGCTGGGCGAGAGTTGAAGCTGGGCATGAAATGGTTAGTCCCCAGCATGACCCGGGGGCCCACGGGCCCTTCCCTGTGTTGCGGGCTGAGATGAGGAGCTTGAGTCTGCACGTGAGTTGGCCACGTAGCTGAGCGCACTTGGGTCAGCCAGCCGACCGGATGAGGGAGCGGTGTGCTGGCCTGTGTCCCCGGGGCCTCTGGGTGCGAAATGTCATGAAGCTATTGTGACTTAAAACTGGTCCCTAAATTCTTTGACACTCCTCCCAT